AAAATGGTTTCAAAGGGAAGAAACCCCCCCAAAAGAAAATCCAGTGGCCTTTTGGGACCACCATGACCTGGATGATTGAGAATCTCAATAGAATATCATTTGGTGGCTTTGAAGCTGCTACAAGATCTCTACACGATCTATGGCAGATGGATTGCTACTTGGTTAATTGTGCAATCTTGCAATTTCTGGTCCATCTTGCAAGGCTGCTGATCTGTAAGTCTTCCACCCAAATGAACCCAGATGTCGATTAAGATACATTCTGAACCCATTTATGAATGAACCTGTTCTTTAAAGGTAGGAAGATACCCAACCATCTACACTGAAGTGACCCATAATTACATAAATCTGAGGTTGTACAAAGCAATAGCAAAGTTAACCACATTAAGTGTGTTGATAAACATACAACGTGACCGTTGTGGCCCACCAGAGGAGCTGGCAGCAGAGTCGGACAGTGAGGAGGTTGGGGAGGAACCTGGGCCAGTCCTGGAGTCTGGGGAAGGCTCTGAGGAGGGCTCTGTGTCAGAGGCAGAGAGGGGGCCAGAGCTATATGCCAGTTATCAGCTGCCTTCAGAGTCAGACATCAGAGAGGCAGAAGAACAGCTGGAGCCTGTTCCCAGTGTGCGCATGTGCAGACTTGCCAGACAAAGGGAACAGCTAAAGAACAGGGGTTGACTTGGGAGTAAGGCTACAGGTGGACGATGAATGGCCCCTCCCTGAGGAAATAAAAGAGGAGCGAAAGGGGAGTGGAGTTTGCAGGAGACAATTAGTTCGCGTAATTGGTTTGTGACGCTCCGAGTCTCCTTGCCAACTTCTGCAGATCTCGACCTGGCAGCTCTCCAAGCCAGCTAAGGTCTGTGGCTGTAAATCCTCCCTCGAAAGACTTTGCTGGATGTGAATGAGAGGAGTTCACAGTAACTTAATAAAAAGGTTTTTTTTGTCGGGACCAGGAGTCTGCTTTGTGGTTTGGGGATGCCTAGGTCAGAACAGTGACTATCAACATCTTATACAACAAACACACCTTTAGGCGAGGATATCTGTAGCTAAGGATTGAACTGTGGTGTCCTTGTTGCTCTCCATCTGAGCTTGGTTGCCCTGATGATGTTACTTAGTTGGACAAGAAAAAAACCAAGCTCAGAGGCCACCAAAGATGCCGCAGAATCTATCTGTCTACCTTCCCCATTCAAGACCGAGCTTCTCCAAAATAATCTGACATTTCTTCACCTGGATTTTCATCCTCTTCTTTGGGGGTTTGTTCCAGTAACGTATCAAGGGCTCTTGTGTACTCCTTCATAACCCAGTAGGCCAGACTTCTCAGGAAAGGGTCTGGGTGCAAATTTGTGCAACAGAACCCGGTTCCATCTTTCTTACAGCCCAAAATCTTCTCGTAAAGGATGGCTGTGTAGGTGGAGGAGATTTCAAACTCAGATTCATACAAACGAGCAATGATTAAAGCCAGCTGGATGTCTTCCATCTTCTCAAGACATACCTGTGGGTGGGAAGGGAAGCACAAAGAAGGTCTTCTAAATACAATGTAATTTATTTATCCAAAAGCAAAATTACAACACAGAAGCCAATATTAAACTAAGGGCAGAGATAAACGAAAGAAACTTTCCATTTAATGGTCCACTAAGACACTCTCCAATTCTTCTATCAGTTCGTCCACACACCAACACACCTGTCTGTCCATCCATACAACCCACTCACCTGTCCATCCATCCATTAATACATCTACCTATCCATCAGTCCACTGACACAGCCATCTATGTCATTCTTTTACCCACATACCCACACATCTGTTTGTCTGTCCATCCATCCATCCACACACCTACACATCCGTCTGTCCAACACACTTATCATTTGTTCACTCATCCAACCACCACCATCAGTCCATTGACAAAATAACACACCTATCCATGCATCTACACAATCACCCACCAGTTCATCTGTCCATCCGTGCACACATTTATCAGTCTGTCTGTCCATCCATTCAGCCAAGCACTATCTATTTGTCCATCCATCAACACACTTATCCATCCATCCATCCATCCATCCATCCATCCATCCATCCATCCATCCATCCATCCATCCACCCGCCCATTGACAAAATCATCCATCTATCCATCGATGCACCTATTCATGGATCCGTGCATCTATTCATCCACACAATCACTCACCAATCCATCCATCTTTCCGTTGGTCCATCAACACAGCCACCTATCCATCCTTCCATCTACACAACCCTCCACATATCCACCTGTTTGGCCACCCACCCATCCATCCCGCCTTCCCTCCGAGCTCACACGGTGCTTTTTGAACCCATACCTCGATGGCATCCTTTAACGACCCCGCCAATAAGAAGAAAGCTGCTGATTGCTCAAACCGCTGTTTCCCCAGGAGGGCGAAGGCATTTTTCAGGGCAGCTTTGCGCCATTTGTCCTCACTGAAATTGTGGCTGAAGAACTGGGTCATCTTCTCATCGTGCTGGGAACTGCAGGGAAATATCACCAAGCTGCATTTTCAGCCACCACAGTAGGGTATATCTCTGACTGAGCAGGATTTACATCTAAGTAAATATACCCAGCAGAGGTGGGTTCCTACCAGTTCGCACCAGTTCGGTAGAACCGGTTCGTCAAATCTACCCAACCGGTTAGAAGAGGTTCCACCAGTGGTTAGGTTAGGTTAGGTTTATTGGTTTTGTATGCCGCCCACTCCCGAAGGACTCTGGGTGGTTCACAATAAACAGGGGAGGGAATAAATAAGACAATACAAACAATTTTAAAATCCACAACGGTCACAATTAAGACGGGGCTGGGTGCTTTAACAGCCCCCAGCCTGCCGGAATAGCCAGGACTTAATGGACCCGGAAAGCAGGCCACACCTACAGGAGAGGTTCCAAAAATTTTTGAAACCCACCACTCTCACACACACACACAGACTCACACAGAGAGAGAAAGAGAAAGAAAGGAAGAAATAAATAAAGAAAAAAAGAAAGAAAAAG